GAAGATTCTCAGGATCATTGCCTTGCCCATCTTCTACATATAACTGTATGACTTGCCACAGTCATGTTTTCTAGCTCTTCTCCCTGTTCTCTCTTCATTGTCTAGTCCTCAAGTTCTTGCTTTTCTTTTAGTTGTAGTATACCTATTTGTATTTCTTCTTTTGAGTTCTTATACTAGGGAAACTATATGATATTTACACATGTGTGTCTGGTTTATTTCACTTATGAGTATATCTTCAAGTGGTATCCACTTAAATATAAAGGCTTCAAGTTTATCATTCTTTATAGCTGAGTAGTACTCCATTGTATAAAAATACCATATCTTTTTCATCCATTCCTCAGGTGATGGACATCTTGATTGTTTCCAAGATTTGGCTATCACAAATTGTGCTGCTATCCTCCCTCCCTTATAAACTACAGTGTGCTGGACCTCACTACTTATGTGTCCTGCTACAGCCTCTCTCTTGGCCCACAGGGTAGATTTGTATAATCCAATCTAATCTATAATCTAATCTCCACAAAATGAAAAAATGATGATGACTAAATAAACATTTTAAAAGACTGGATTATACCTTTAATTCACCATTTTTTTCTTTCAATCACAGTCTTTATTTCCTCCTGGATAATTGTCTCATTACTGTGTTCTTTAACCCTGCAGCACTGAGCTCAGAAATGCCTAGATACTCTGCAGTAAAAAGAATGTACTCTAAATTCATTGAAGAGAGTAGAAACTAAAAAAGATTTTAGAGTTGCAAGTGAGCGACAATAACACTCTCCAGTTATAGAATCTCTCATCCAAAATACGGACTTCAGTTTTATAGTATTATGTGCTGAACTTGACTCAATCTTCAGTGTGTTGTTATATCTATGGTTAATCTTCTTTATTGTCAGAATGGACCTCCAGCAGAGACTGTGTTTAAAATAATATAAAATGGTGGGCTGGCGAGATAGCTCAGCAGACTAAATCGCCGGCTTAGGCGAGCTTAGGCAAGGGCAGGGACCGCAGTGTGATTCCCGGTACCACA